CTTAGGGGAGTGCCTGGACCCTACCATGAGTGAAATCACAGACTCTAAATATCCCCTATGCGGAAGGAATTGGCAATAGGGTGGGAGGCTGGGGGGGGATAAGGGGTGCGGGAGGAAGGAAGGGAGAGGGAAGTGGGATTGACATGTAAAACAAGCTATTTAAAATTAAAATTAAAAATTAAAAAAAGGATCCCTCATGGAAGGCCTCACTCTCCCTGGGGAGCAGAAAGGGGATGAGATAGGGGGTGGTGGGAGCCAGGCATGGAGGGGAGTTAGTGGTAACTGGGATTGACATATAAAACAAGCTTGTTTCTAATTTAATTAAAAAATCTGAAAAAAACCCAAATAGAACAACAAATAGAGTCAAGATGAAGCAAAGTAAGAAGCAAAGAGGTACAGGAAAAGTCTCCTACTTTAAACAACCCTTCATTTCAATATGGGTTCTCACAAGACCAGAACTATACCATGTTACAAACGCATGCAGAGAATTTTCTTTAATTAGAAAAACTGGGCTGGAGAGATGGCTCAGAGGTTACGAGCACTGACTGCTCTTCCAGAGGTCCTGAGTTCAATTCCCAGCAACCACATGGTGGCTCACAACCATCTACAATTCAATCTGGTGCCCTCTTCTGGTATGTAGGCAGAACACTGTATATGTAATAAATAAATAAATCTTTAAAAAAAAAGAAAAGAAAAACCAAGTTACATCTCAAAATATTGTTTGGACAATGTTCATTAGAATTAAATAAAATAAACTCATTTCACTGTGTGTTGTACTCTGTTTATGGGGCACAATGAAAAAAAAAAAGGAATTCAAAAATATTTGAGAAAACAGGGACTTGGAGGACTCTGCAGTTGTGAGGTAGGCTCGCAAGTTGACTTTGGTATGAAAGGAGAAATCTTTTGTGTCTGTCATAAAATGACATGACCAAAAGCAACATATTAAAGAAAGAGTTTATTTTGGATTAAATTTACAGATATAGCATCCATAATGGTGGGGAAAAGCAAGGCAGTAGGAAGGCAAAAGCAAGAGATCACATTTTGATCCACATATAGGAAGCAGAAACCAAACCTGAAGGGTGGTTACTAAAACACTTAAAGTCATTCCATAGTGACATAATTTCCCCAGCAAGGCTCCACCTGCCAGTGGTTTTAAAGTTTCCCAAAACAGTGTCACCAGCTGTGACTCAAGTAGAGTACTTGAGCCTATGTTTCTGGCAGTAGAGTAAATCAAGATGACCAACTTCTGGTGCTTTCAGTACCATTACATACATTAGCTACATATTGTTTGTATATAACAAATTGACATAGGTATATGACTTAGTATACATTTGTCATCTCCCAGCTTCTGTTTATCAGAAATTTTAATGTGATTAACCTATATTCTCTTCTTCAGTGTTTCACTGAATATAGTCAGAATATTTATTTGTTCATGCCTTCTTGTTAGTACATCTAGAGAATATTCCACTACTATGCTCATTTAGATTATTGCATAATCAATGTACAATCATTTGTTTATATTTTTCAACTAAAAGCCTCCACAGCCTTTTCTGCTTTGTTACTTTATTTACCAGATTTTCATAACATGATATTTTTCTCAGGATACAGCTGGTTAATGTGTGTTTTAAAATGTAACAACAAGAGTAGCATCCTAACAGATTTTCTATTGCCTATTGACTAAAAATATATCACATGTCAAACTCCAACACAAGCTAATAGAAATATTTGCACAGGGATGTGGACAGTTACAGGCAGAAGACATGAATGCTTTATTACAAATTATCAATTGTTTTACTCTACAATTTTTTGCATTGCTAAGTATTAACTTTCTATTTGTTGTATTGTCATATTTCTTTGGTTACTAAAGTAATATAAAAAGTATTCAACAACATTAAATGCTGCTTTCCAAAACATCTGATAATACAGAAAGTTCATCACTCTAAGATGAATCATAAATTGCCTAGAGCTATTTCTGTACTTCATGGAAATTAAGTAGGAGCAAAATTATTCCAAGAGAAAACTGTGTTCATAATGCTCATGAGATTGCATTTAGAAACTAGACTGCTATGCCTGAGTTGAATATTTGCACTACCATTTGGCAGTTTGTGATTCAGTTGTCTGTCAACTATCTGAGTCTCAGTGTCCTTATATATAAAATGTTGATAATATTCTTATGTATTTAAACGTACAGATAGTTCTTTCTGTTTTCAAGTTTAAGCACTGAAATAATTATAAAATTAATTTAGTTCTTTTAATTTTCACAGTAAACTTGTAAAATATATATTGTGAAATACATTTCCATAGAATATGGAGAAAATTAAAGTATGAGGATTAAATTAGTTAATTTACGTACATGCCAAAGAACACTGTCTGACATACAAAAAGCACTGAATAAGAGTTAGCAATTGACGATATTATGAATAATGTTGTGTTCTGTGCTCTGGATGGTATAAAGAATATAATAAAATATTTATCCTCAAAATCTTGCAGAAAAAATAAATCATTCACAAGAAAAAATGAAATAACAATAACTATTATTTTACTTGTCAAATGTAATGTGTCGTAATCTAGAAATTTATTTTACATTATTCAAATCACAAATGTTCTTATATAATATTTACTTTTAATTTAACATGTATCATATAAAATATTACATACCTATGTAAAGGTTGCAATATTTCAAAACCCAACACCATTGAATTCTACCTGTTTTCCAGAAATGTACTGTACAGAAAATATGAATACATATCAAATGGAGTAATAAAAAGAAACTGATATATCATTTGAAGATGGCTGACAAAATGGCCCAGCGGAGAAAATGTGCTTGCAGAGATGCCTGAGGACTTGAATTCCAACCCCAGGCCCCACATGGTAGAGAGAGTTTACATATGTCCAAAAGTTGTCCCTGACTCCACATGCATTGTGACATATGTTGCCCCTACCACACACATATATTTTTTCAAAACAAAACAAAACCTTCTGAAACTTCTAAACACCACTGAAATATGTCATTCTATTGCACACATATTATAAAAACAAACAACCTAATTTAAAACTCCCAGACCAGTGAGGTAGCTCAGCAGGAAAACTTGACTAACTGTAAGCATGATGATCTGAATTCAATTCCCGAGATACATCTGGTGTAATCTGTCGTTGAAAGCTGTCCTCTGACTACCACCCATGTTCTGTGGCACAAATGGGTGTTTGTACACACATAAAAAAGTAATAGATAGATAGATAGATAGATAGATAGATAGACAGACAGACAATTAAAAAACAGTCATACTAGTTCAGAGAAACTTCCTCCTGCAGCAGATGAGAAAAAATATAGACCCACAGCTAGACATTTACACAGAGAGCAAGTGACCTTGGAACACCCAACTATCCAACCCCTTCTCCTCAGAGCTTAAGTGACCACGTGGAAGTTGATGCAGAAAAATATAAGAGCCATAGGCAATGGAGTACACCAAGAAACAAGCCCTCTAAAACATATAAGTGATCAAATTTCATGTGAACTCACAGATCCTCTCTATATACATTCCACGTTAGCATTTTCATGGTACTCCTGAGTGTGAAAAGAAGTAGTTTTTTGATTCTTAGACACTCTCTTGGATTCTTTTCCTTCTATTGGTTTGTCTTGTCCAACTTTGATGCCAGGGTTTCTGATTTATCTTAGTACATGTTATTTTGTTACATTTTTTTACGTCCGTAACTTCTTTTTTTTATATCATTTTTTTATTTTAAATAGCTTGTTTTACATGTCAATCCCAGTTCCCTCTCCCTCCCCTCCTCCCACACTCCCCTTACCCCCCACCCTCCCACCCTATTGCCAAATCCTTCCACATAGGGGATATCACTTTAAAAATGATTAATTGAAAACCTAGCCACTAGGATGAAGATTAACAATGGAAATGTCATTTATACATGGCAGGAGAGATTAAATCAGTTTTCTCCATTAGAATAACACTGGGTATATCAACCACTCCAAGGCATGCCTCCTGCTTAGGAGTAGGTGACAAATATTTGGATTCCATGTTTTTTTTATAGGTGTGTGATTTAATTTGGTTACAGTTTTATGGGTTTTTTGTTTGTTTCTTTTTGTTTTGTCTTGTTTTGGGGGTGCTATTTTACATAGTTTCCTTGGTTCCTTTTTTGCTGTTGTCACATGAAGTTTTTGTTTGCTTGTTTGCTTAAAGAAAGAAATTAAAGTTGAATGGGTATGGATGAGGAAAGGATTTGGAAGGACTTGAGGGGGGGCGAAGCATATGATCAAATTATACTGACATTTAAAATTTGTTTTGAATATTTAAAATATAAAAGCATGATGGTTATCTAACTGTGAATAGTTATTATAGAACAGATAGGTTACACTTCTACATATTCCCAGCAACTAAAAAAGAAAACACTAATGATTAAGATACAAGAAAAAAATGGACCACATCAATACATCAGAATATAATCTACAGCTGAGCACAGTGGCATACTGTATCCTTGACTCTCAGGACTCAGGAGGCAGAGGCAGGTAAAGCTTTGTGAGTTCAAAGCCAGCCTGCTCTACATAGTGAGCTCCAGGACAGCCAGGAATGCATAGAGAAAACTTGTCTCAGAATAAAAAAGAATATAATCTATTATTCGTGTATAGAAGTTCAGGAAACCATGATCAATTGAAATACAAGCTGTTGCTTCGTGGTTTCAAGCAAGACATTGACAGACTCCCTTTACCTCATTCAAAGAGGCAAAGCCAGAATCCCCCTTTATGGTGCTTTCTGCTTTATAATACCATGGTTCCCATTTCTAACAGTTTACAACCTAGAAAATTCAAGGTGCTTTATGATTACTTCATTTCAACTAAAAACAAGTGAATGTGCTGGGCTCTAGTTTTCTGGGTACGATCTCTGAAGATTTTGTAACAACCACCAGATTCTCCAATTCTCGCGAGATCCTCCTTTCTCTCGCAAGATCCTGTTTGCACAGACATTGATAACGTCACAATGGTGCCCTTTGTCTACAAGGGCGGGGCTGGTACTGGCCTCTCATTCCCTTAGCAAAGGAGAGCTGGCAGTGGTATTACAGGGGTAGCTCCGAATAGATAGCCTATTTAACCATGCAGGATCCCAGTGGAAATAAGAGTTGCAGAGCAGGTGGTGAAGAAGAAGGTAGCCAACATACATCAGTTACTGCTGATGCCCAAGATAGTTCACAGAATTCCGAAGCCGAGAATGACCATGGTAACTCACTTCATGAAAGACACCCACAAGATTTTGGTAGCCAGGCTGTCCAAGGCAGTCTTGACTCAAGGATCCCTGCAGAGGCCAGAGTGGTGGCAGAAGAAGCAACCATCACTCCTCATGGCGAGCAAGCACCAGTTATCCCTGGACCAAGTGGAGATGCTGCAACAACAGCTGGAAGTCGACTCCTGGAGTTGTATCCTTTCAGCAGAGCACCTTGGCAGAGGCTATGGCAACATAGGGAGGACAAAACTCCAAATTGCTTTAGGAGGAGACTTATTGTGGGAGGGTTAATGGCCAACTAGAACGGGGACAGAAGGGTGTACTGTGCGCAGTCAGTCCTGAACAGACTGAATATTTGAGGCAGAACAGGTAATCATGTATGTGTAAGAAGGACGTAGGGCTGTAGAGTCAAAACATCTTGATGCAGGCAGGGCAGGGGGCACTTTGGGGTTAGGGAGAAATCTGGTGACAAGGAAACTCCCAGGAATACACAAGGATGAACCCAGCTAAGACTCCTAGCAATAGTGGAGAGGGTGCCTGAACAAGCCATCTACTGTAATTAGATTTGTGAGTGTCCTAATTGTCATTAGAAATCCACAACCAAGCACTGGGCCAAGCTGCAGGAGTCCTGTTAGAGAGGGAGAAGGGGAATACAAGGTGGGGGGGGGTGTATCAGCATCGTGATGGGAACCAACAGATATAGCTAACCTGAGCTCGTGAACTCTGGACAGGCTGGCAGTTAGGGAGCCTGTGTGGGACCAATGTAGGCCATGTGTACTTGCGTGACAATTGTTTAGCTTGATCTGTTTGTTCAAGACCTGTCCCTGGCAAGCTTAGCTAGCTGTTGGGAACCAGTTCCCCATGTTGGATTACCTCATTCAGCCTTGATGCAGGAGATAGGAACTCCTGCCTCAGCTTGCTGTCCTTGATTTGTGCAATCCTGTGGCATGCCTGCCCCTTTCTGAATGGAGATGGAAGAGGAGATGGGGAGGGGTGGATGGAAAGTGAGGGGAAGGAATGAGAGGAGGGAGTATTTAAAATAGTGATCAGTATGCAAAATAAATGAAACAAATATTTAAATAAAAATAAGATATAAAAAAGAAAGCTATAGTGTTTGGAAAACCAGAATCACTGAAGAAATGGCTGTGTGTCAGTTTGGAGCAAGCTAAAGCAAACTCAAAGGTAAAATCAAGCCCAATGCACAAAGAAATTCAATAATGGATAATACCTTAACCATGTCTTCCTCCAGTTCTGTAACAGTGCCATTCAGGACCTCTTTGGAGGCAAACATAGCCTGCAGATCCCTGGCTTCACATGTTCAGCAGCAGCAAGTGATGGTTCAGCAAGAGTTCACAGTGAATGATACCACTCTGACTGTGTCAGTTCTCCAAGAGTTTGGAGTTGGGGTGGCCTTAGACTGGAAAGCAATGTGTATTCTAGGGGTTCTGTAATGAAGTAACTGGTAGATTAAAAGCAAGCAGATGACATAGTATGGTAACAGTTCACAGATTCCTCATTTTTTCTCCTGATGGTGTCTCCCTTTCCTTTTAGTCGGTGGGCCACCGAAGATCCTGTTCTCTTCCGAACATCTATCAACACCTTCCTTGACCAGCTCTCCCTAGTGATGAGGAACATCCCACGCCCAGTGTTTATGGCAGTTTTCAAACAAGGAAGAGGAAGAAATAATGACCCCTAATGTGATACCACCCACAAGACAAGGCTAGGGCTTTTCACCATTTGTCCCTTTGCCTTCATATTCACTGATTTGATCCTATCACACTGTATTATTCAGTGTTACTAAAGGAGTGAATATTGAAATAATGGATGATGAAGAAAACACTGAGTTATTGTTTTTATTTTGAGCTATGGCAGAAATCTTCATGTTTTACTATTGTGTCCTTTTGTTGGAGGGGAAGCTTCTGGGATTCTAATGTTCTAATATTCCAAGGCAACTGACAATTTAGGATATGGAAGAAATGAAATTTTATTATTTACTAGTATTATGTATATGTGCATACTTGTGTGTGTATATACACATGTGAAATGTCACCCAATTGGAGTTCAGAGGATAACTTTTTTGGAGTCCTCTTCTTCTTCCATGTGGGTTCTTACTAGCAAAATTAAGTCATTAGACTTGGGCACCAAGTATTTTCATGAGATGAGCTATTTCCATAGCTTTGAAATTAACTTTTAGTGTACAAATAAATATATTCTTGAGCACTTAACTATAATGGAAGAGGATCTTGGTTTAGTCCAGAGCAATGTAAAGGGAAAGAAGAGAAAATTAATTTCATTATTGAAATTTCTTAATTCTGTAGTTACAGGTAAAGTGGTTTCTGGTTTCTACAGTTGTATTCATATATTAACTGCATAGTGTAAACATACACATTTTTAGGATTAGTGTTATTTTGGTTCCTTAAATATTTTCCTTTTAACATACTAGCTTTCTAATTTTTAAATAAATTATTTGAGGACAAAAATATGACAAGCATCACAATCATGAAATATGGAAGGCATTCCAGTTTTTATCCTATTGTAAAAATGGTATATGAACACTTCTTTCTTTAAGCTGGACTCTCAGAGACAGAATTACTGAGTTACATACAAACACTTTTTGTAGACATATATACACAAAATCACTTTAGTATATGCCTTTGCACACAAAATTTGTTTCCACCACATCCTTGTCACCACTGTTTTGTCTTCTTGATAAAATTAAAGCCTTTGTGTGAGAACCCAACAACACAGAAATACCAATGTGAGGGATTTTGTCAACTCCCTGGCCTCACTTCAGACTACTCTGTAAGAGGGGTAGGATATTGTGGTATGTTTAGAACATTATGACTAGGTCTATAACAATATATTATGTCCAGGAATCTTGCTAAACCCACTCAGTTCTTTACCCTTTTGTTGTTTTTTTTTCAAGAAAGTGTTTCTCTGTGTAGCTTTGGAAATCACTATGTCAACCAAGCTGACCTCTGCCTCCCAAGTTCTGGGGCTGAAGATGTGTGCCACCACTGACTGACTTTACACTGTTTTCTTGATTCAGTCATATTTCCCATGTAGTTGATTATTTTTCAGTGAAATTATTTTATTTTGTCCATTCTATTCTAATCTGAATGCCTTTTCTTATTTATTTTCCTTCATTCTTACTTTTATGAGTCGCTTTGTCTATTCCTAGTACCTTTGGGGTGGGAGTTATTGCCTTTATAAGAGCCCTGACTGCTGCCTCCTCAATAATGAGGCTTTGTGCATGAATGGAAGAGACATTTGTGCTCAGGGACTAGAACTTTATCTGTGATCCTGTGGGGATCACGTGTGGAATGGTCTCTTTCCGGGTTCCAGTAGTTCCCTTACACACTAGTCTTGGCAGTGTTCTGCTTGAGCCTCAAGCAGGTTCCTCCGTGAGAGCCAGCATTCTGTCTCTTTATCACTCTACTCTCCTCACCTCACAGACTGCAATTGTCCTTTAATATGGGGGAGAGGGCTGGGATAGGGGCTGCAACATGGGCAATCAGGAGCTACAGATTTGAAAGACCTTGGGGGTACAATTAAGGCACTGGAGTTCCTTAGCAGAGCAGACAAATGAACTGCCGTGCTACTCAGCAGTTGCTTTCTACTACTCGAGCTGACAAGCTAAAGTGCACCAGGGAGGTAGAGGGTAAGATTTATAACATTCTATAGAAGATGAAGGAGTTAAAGTTATTAAAGATGTGATTAAGAATGCAGAGCAGGGAGTTTGTTCTCTACCAACAAAAAGGTACAGAGCAGCAAGAATTGATGCTGCAGGTGGGGATATCATTTATGGTCCCTTCTCTCTGAACGGCCCAAAGTCAGGCTCTATTTAAGAGGGTCAAGATGCTCAGGAAACATGTTATATTATTGATCTTTCCAAGTATCTGAAATGGAATGAGCATAAAGGATCCAGAGTGGAACAAGCTATTCACTTTCCTGGGATGATGACTCAGAATTCAGGACCCTCCATCTTCTGAATTCTACCTTGACTTTCTGCTGGATTCCAGACTTAAGCACAATGTTCTGGAACCGGTTGAGTTTGAAAAGGGGATTTATGAGAAGAGGGAGACTTCAAGGATACCCGAGGCTTTACTTCTCCTTTGCAAAGCCTTTAGCTCACATATAGGCTATTTTATTCCCAAAAGCCTCATCAACTCCAACATATATTCCTGGTACCTTTCCTATGCTCCTAATATATGGGCCCTCAGACAGACTTTTCATAACATCTCAAACTAATTAGACAGAAATTATATAAAGAATAATAGTAGTTATTGGGACCATAAAGAAAAATGCAGTGAGAATCCATGCATCTTAGTGACTTAGGAGGGTGTACAAGGTTGTATGAGCATTTTTCATTAAGAAACCAGTTAAAGCTAATTTTTAAATTTCAAAAGTAAAAGACAAAAGGGTTGAAAACTCCTACTAGATATGAAAGTTAATTTCTTAAATGCCTTGTGTTTTTATACTTATATAGGACTCACAATATTTAGTCCATGTTATCCAAAAATATAACGGTAGTTGAGAAGTAACATGATTTTTAATCTATCATACTCAATTTCATACATTTAAGCTTCAATGCTTATTTTCATTTAAACTGACATTAATAATTTATTTTTTATTATGAGTATGAAAAGAATTTAAAGGCATAGTAGTCAGATTTGGAGTATAAAAAATTGTTAGAACTTATTTACAAATGAAAAACATATTTTTATTTCATATGTTTTATATCTTCCCACCTTAAGGTTTTAGTGACAAAACATGTGAAAAAGAACTGAAATGTCAAATTCCAAGACACGTATGGGTAGGTATTTGAGCACCTGTTTTCATTCTTGCATTTAGATTTGTATGTGGTGCTTTAGTAATAATGAACACATCAATCAATGCAATCTAAAGAGAATTAAAGAGTAGAAGTCAATTTTATATCTTGCTGTTTCCCCTTTAATTTCAGTAACCATTTTTCTTTTATATGCTAAGGCAATATGACATTATTTTATATTATTCCTTTCCTTTAATTGGCATGAATAATATCTAAAAACAAAATATTTTTGAAATGTATAAGTAAGTAGTCTATTTATATAAAAAGATCTGGATTTATGACTGTTTTAACCACCACGTGAGATTAAAATATGATTTTACTCTTTTAACTACCAGATTCATAATTGATAAAATGGGACAGATAAGTACTCTTTCAAGGTTTTTATGATAATACCACAACTTAAAGGATTTAGTAATCTAAGTAGAGTTCCTAGCTATCAGGAGTCGTGAGAATGGGTAGTTGCCTCTGAAGGAACTGTGGGTCTCAATTTCACTAATTTCGTTCTCTATGGCTGACTTCCAGACTACACACACACACACACACACAAACACACACACACACACACACACACATACATGTATGTATGTATGTATGTACGTATGTATATATGAGGTTTTTGTGTCTTTAGGAGGCCCATTTAAGGGAATCAATGAGAATCAAAATGTATTTCAGTTACATTTCAACATGGAATATTGTATTTTCCACATGGTGTAGGAGTAATTTTCATTATTTGGTAATGAGGGTGACAAAAGTGTCGTTAATCATATAGTAACGAAAAGGTGTCGCCATTGATTATCATGACAATTTCAGAGCCATGGCCTGGTGAAGACCACATTCACAGTAATAATACTTGTAAGATTTTGGTCATTTTCAAAGCATTCAATTACCCAATTTTCCTTTTCCACTAATATTTCCAAACACAAACCCCTTTCAAGAGACTATTGCATTTCTCATTACACTGCTCAGCCAGCCCCAACTATTTAACTTCAGAATATATATATATATATAGAGAGAGAGAGCCTGTATTTTGCTGACCTTTAGATATCAGAGCAGATATTTAATTCCAGTATACACAGTATGTCAAATCATAACATAATATAATTTATCAGACAACAGATGCTATGGAATAGTTAGTTTGGAACAAACTTAGTTTTTAAATGGCTGTTGTAATGGTTGCATAATACTATTCAGACATCTTCTTTATAAGAAAACAAATAACTCTAAACTACATTCCCATATGATTTGGGCCAGTCAATGCCTAGTATAATAAAAAACTGTTTGAACAGCTCGATTGTAGCATCTGGTCTGCTGCCTATCAGCCTCTATACATAGTAGTTTCAATTAGGGAACCTGGCCTATTCCTTAAATGCCCCCATAGGACATGATCTAATTCTAAACTCCAATCTTCATTAGAATACCATAGTCTTCAACCCCTACACTCCTGCTTAATTTAATTTTGTTTGTCTATTCTTTTATTATGACCTCTATAAAATTAATTTTAAAAGGTTTTCTGTTAGAGGTAATTTGCTTGAGACAAGTGCCATCTAAGGTTTTTGACAATAGCTACAAGACATGATGACTGAACTATTAACTCTATTCCAAACCCATAAGGATTCAACTCCTGGCCTTCAGGCCACTTTTTCTTTCACTGAGTCTTCCCTTGTCTCCTCTCTTCCACTGGAAAATTCACATTGGTATGTTTGTTTGAAGCCATATCTGGCTTTCCCACAGTAATTGCTTTAAAGCCAGTTTCTTTGATTCCTCAATGAAACAAAATTCTTCAAAAATGGAGACATAAATTTATTTTTCAACCATAATTTCACATTACTAATATAGAATCTGCTGTTATATAAGGTTATTCATAAATTAAAATGCTATACAGTAAATAGCGAAGCAGATCTGACAAATGCTCACATCTCATCAAAACATGCAAGCCACCTACATTTCACAAAAGAAACCTGCTCCAGGCAATAGTGGCACACATCTTTGTTCTCAGCATTTGAGAG